GTTTTAATTAAATAAGGGAATGAATAATTAAAAACCTCAAAAATTAGTTCCAAAAATGCATCAACCCAAACATGTCGGAACAATCTAAGCAAAGACTAAATAATGTAATGGAAATATTTTTATCTCGGTAATTAATAACGTTAAGTTATAGCTTTTTATTTAATTCATGGAACTTATCAAAAGTAAATGGTTTTTCATGTTTTTACTGAAGCATGCATATAAATGTCTATAAATAAGCATATGAAGTAAATTTTAAATAGTATATAAATAAGTGAACAAAACTTCTAATATCTGGTCGATTCGTTGAATTTTCACATGCTAAGTTGCAATCTTCATAGCTTGTAAATCTCTTCGAACATGAATGGACAACCCGCGACAGACTATCCACAATATGGACTTTTAATAGTAACACACGAGGACAAAAAAATAAAAATTTAAAAAATAATATAATCAAAATATCGTTTAAGATTACTTGATATGTACCTTAAGCATTTTATTACTCGACCTTTAACAGCTTATGACTCTGTACCTTAACCCACTGACGCAGATGGAACACCGGTGTCTCTTTCATTTATATATATATATTTCTGACGCTCTAATTGAACTATATTTTGGTATTTTTTTAATGATAAAAACAATCTAATAGTTACGAAAAAATCTATTAGTTTATCAGAACTAAAATATAAAATTACTAAAATATAAAATTAAAAAAAAGTAGTTTGATTTTTTTTTTAAATTCATATTCAAAAATTTATGATTTATTGATTTTATAAATTAAAGAAATTTCAATGAGGAATAAAATGTTTCTGTTAGATCTAAATAACAGCTAATAAATGAAAATTTGAAAAATTATTGTTTGGAAGATTTTACCTTTAACGCAGAAAAAGACGCCGGTGTTTCATGCTCTATATCATAACTATATATTATTAAAATGCTAAATGTGTTTATCACTTTTTTTTATCTAAATTGATACAAAATAATGAAAATAGAATGAAAAATACGTTTAATAAAAAGTCTACGTTAATGGGTTAAACATCGTATTATCAAGGAAAAATCCTAATAAAGATAACTCGGTAATGCAAAATCAAATAATTCGAAAACTACACTAACTATTATCTTAAACTTATTTAATATTTAGAATTAAATGCTTCTAGTTATTCATTTTTATTTTTTACATTACCTGACTGCTTGAATCTTTTAAAAATGTTCAATAACTATAAAACCTACATTTTTCCAGGTGATTTTTTTTTATTAGTCATTCCCGAGACACAAAAAGGCTCGATACGAAAATAATTAGGGGAAAGCTGGAAATAGTTTTAAAATCTGTAGTTTGGTTCCGAACCCTGCAATGAGCTGAAACCACCACCTTGAATTTACTTGCGAGGAAAGGAAATCAAAACCGAGGAAACTTAAACATTACTATCTAAATGAGGTATAGTTTGTCTACAGTGAGAACTCCCCCTGCCATAAAGTCTGAGGCCGACTACTGCTATGGAAACAAGAATAGCGGATTTCGGGGAGGGTAGCCTCTCTTCACTCTAGGTCTAACACTATAGATCGAAGAAAAAAATTCCCTTTCCATCGCCAACAAGACCGAGCCAAAAACTCGCTTGAAATAATTATACCTCGTTACCATAGTCACCGCTACGGGTCCAGAGGAATGGCTAGGGGAGTTCTTACTTTAGGCAAACTATAGTGCCCCCTATGTTTTCTTTTGATCTGAATCGAATCACACCTAGATCAAGATGGTTTCAGAAAAAAAAGTTCGATAATTATGAAGCATTAAAAAGATACTATTTTTTATTATACCTATTTACGCCTATGAAGTCTTACGCTTATCTAGACAAATAAAATATTATTCCCTCTATACGCAGAATCAAATGGACTTAAAACAATGTCGATAATATTATTAATTAAGAAGTTATTAAATTTTTTGTGTATAAGAAAGTACGGTTTTGTATTTATACCTATCTACACCTTTGACATTGCTATATAAACAATTAAAATATTAGATCCTGGGCTAAATTAATTGAAACTAAAACCGAGTCGATACTACGTACGGTTTGGAATTATAAAAATTTCATGTCTAAAAATTACAATTAATTATGTGTTATATAGTCGGGTGAAACATTGTTTCATATACATGTTTTTTTAAGTCAATTACAATAAATTCAAAATAAGTCGCTAGAGCTATAATTCTGAAGTTACTGTTTTATGCGTAAAAACGTGAGAAAATAAAATTGTCATTACTTTAAACATTTGAAACTTCTTAACTGTTAGTCCTATCAACTTAATTTTGATCACATTCGATTTAGCATAAAAATTCCTTCGATCCAATACTTCACTTGTCTTTATAGCTATGTCAGAGGTGTAGATAGATATAAGTACAAAACTGTACTTTTTATACATAAAAAATACATTTATTTTTGAACTTTTAGTTCCATCGATTTTGTTTCAAATCGTGTTCGATTGAGCGTAAAAATCCTAGCAGCAAAACAACTTGAACCGTTATTGGACTAATATTCGCGAATCTTGGCTAAATATGGGTTCAAAGAACTGTTATTTTTCAGAAATTAGTCATATATAGAATTGTCCTGTTCACCCAATTCAGCAATTCTAAGACCAATATTAAAAATTCTAGATATCCCAATATTGGTTCCTCGGTGCATGTTCTGATAGGACCCATATCGAGTCCATTTTTAGCCCAACTGGGACCAAGGTAAAATTGTTGCTTGGGAAGAGGCTTAGAAAATACCTCATTTGTGTAGGTAGGACGTTGAACAGCCGACCCAATTCTGAGTTGGCGACTACCAATGCTCAATTCTGTAGCCTTGTAATTTTGAGCCCAGGCCAGAAGACAAGAGAACTCCTGAATTAAGCATTGTGCCAAACTAGCCTTCGTGGAAGAATTTTTGCTGGAATTAACCCGCGTTTGCGCTATATGGAGAGGAAAACCACAAAAACCTCACACTGTTAGCCCGAGAGCAACGAGATTCTAACCCATGATCCATCGAACACTGAGTTTTATGTCAGTCTTGTGGTCGGGGAGGCAGAATTCATATCAACCAGCCACCACTGGGATTTGAACCTGGGGAACCTTATTGTGAGGCGAAAGCTATATTCCTTGAACCACGGCGGCTCCATTTGTGTAGATAAATATAATCTGAAAATCAGTACCTACATTTAAACCTGCGTAAGTTGACCACCTGTGGCGCATCGCTTTAGTTGTCCACTTAAGATCAATTGCCAATTTACTTAATTGGATGAGTCATTCCTTTTTAATCCCTATTTTTTCTTATGCAATCGTGTTTTTCACGTCGTTCATATATTTCGTTACCAATCATAATGAAGATAAATGTAATTAATTTTTTTTAACCTGGCTTTAAAATTGAATTTTATAAAATACTTTATGTATTAAGTTAGATTATGAGATTAAGTTAGCAGGATTAATTATAATTCGTTACATAAATTTAATAAACTGGTAAGTTTAAAAAAAAATGAATATTTTGATAATGATGTATCTAGGGTATTCATTGTAAATAATTTCTTTAAATATCTGTTCACAAGAGCCTCATATGCAATAAAAAAAACTTAATATTTCCCTTTCATAGTTTTCTTTGCTTAATAGTTTAGTGTAGTCCATTCACAAAAGGGTTCAGGCCAAATTGTAATGCTATTTAACGTATTCATTGAAATTCTAAAACAAGGCATATCATGGAAAATTTCCTAATTTTTTTTTCTGGTCAACTTTTGATAATATGTTTCATAACAATTCTGAAATAATTAAGATTTATTACATTGGTCAACATACAAATAGACAGGTGGCCAGATTACAAAGGTTTTGCCATCTTTTATAGCATAAGATAAATTGGTCCGTGATAATAGAGGTTAACTTGACAGGTTGCACTCTATACTCAAATATTTTACTTACCTCATACTGATTAAATCCATTATCTCATCTGAACTATTAATCCTATCGACTTGATTTCAGTATCATTCCACTCAGCATAAAGAAAATCGTCAGGAACAAGACCTCACTTATCATGATAGTAAAGTTAACCCTCCCCCCTCAGTAAATTCAAGATGGGAGGTTAAGCTCACATAATGAAAAGGGGGGCTATATTCATATTAGGGCTTAACCACAGTGTGTAAAACAATTTCCAGTTTTCCCCTCATTATTTCCGTATTGACGACTTAGTACTATGATTTAGAAACTGACCCACATATACTTAACATGAAATTTTGTACTGTAAGAGTAAAAATCTGATAAGTTTGTATTGTTAAAAGATTAGCAAATCCTGATGACTAATAAGTTCAATTAATTAATGCAGAATTTTCATTAATTAGTCTAATATACATTAATTAATCATATATCCATTCATTAATCATATTCATTAGCCTAATATTCAGTAATTCATTGACTTAGCGCACATTTTTAAGGACAATGTTATGAAATGCATTTTTAGCTTAGAAAAATTATACTCTAAATATCTATTTTACTTAAAATATAGCATATGAAAAACAAACAGGGAAAATTTTTGTTTTGAAGTCAAATTCAAAAATATTTTAAGGAACTAAATCAAATAATTTAGATATTAAGAAAATAATAACAGCAAGATAGATTAGACTAGATATTAAGTAAATAATAATTCTTTAATGATTTATTAAATATATTACTTAAATATAATGAGTAATTTTAAAGATCATAGTTTTAATTATTAATCAATAATGTATTCCACCCTCGTTAGCAACAACCTTTTAATACCGGATCGGAGAAAAAAAAATTGGTTTTTAAGACTAACGAATGTTTAATGCTCCGAAACGACATTACATTCCGGTCCCCCTAATATATTTTATTGACATGTAATTGTGTAGGGAATGTAAGATATTAATTTCTCAGTAATTTTGAACTCAAACCAGATGATAGAGTTTTAATGTTAAACGCATTAACACTTCTAAACTAAAATTTACTCTTTTAAAATTGTATGCAATAAATAGAATTTATAACTTAATAATCTTTATTGATCAGATTGAGCTCATAATACATACAAATATGTACATTTATACAATTAACATGACATAAGGTCCTATACACAACAAAAAAGTTCATATTCTCATTCATACAAGAATAATACATCATAAATATTTGAATCATCAACATAGTACATCATTATCTCCCATAAGCTCATTGGTGTACTTTAGGTTGTGAATTCAAAAGTCTCTGGATTTAATAAAAATGTAAAAGCATTACTTTAATTCAAAATTTACAAAAACATTTTTAGATTATCACAGTCTTCGAGAAATCTATTTTTTTAAAGTGTAAAACCTAATAGAGAGATAGATTATACAATAATAATATGGATAATTATATATTTTAAAAATTGTGTTGGTCATTAATGATTTCAAGAGAGTGTCAATTTCATAGTAGGTAAAAAAATATGTGACCAATCTTAAAATAAATTAAATATTTTTTTAAGTCACTCTGTAAAATATATTATGATTATTTTATATTTCAAAAAATAAGTATTTAAATTTCTACACTTAGTATGTGATTGTCATCTTGACAATTACGCATATGATTGTCAATGTTGAGTGTATCACACTGACACAAATTTCAGTGCTAGTTAAACAAATAAAAAAATTAATTTAATCAAAATGCAGAAACAAAGTCTTGTTTAGAAATCCTTGTCCCATCCAGAAATATCATCAGCAGGCAGACCGCTCATATCTGGAGGAAAAGTGTCAAAATTACTGGTATCTATGCAATTTCGCACCTATAAAAAATAAACATGTATGTGAAATTTTAAACTATAAAGTAACTTTTTTTTAATTCATACCGTTGTCGCATGATTTTATTTCTAAACTATAAATAAGTAAACTTAATATACATGTTCTTGAGATATGGACTAATGTTTGAACAAACAGAGAATAAATTATAAACCTACTGCAATGATAGTATATATCGTACGGAAAAAAATTTTTTAGTCCACTTTATTTCTTACAAAATGATATAAAGTTTAAAAAAATTTTGTAAATCTATATTGGTTAAACAATTAAAATTCAATTCTATTTTTAAAAAAAAATTCAAACTAAGCATAATTATTAGTAATGATAGTTCTCACTCTCAGAAAACAAAATTCTATAAGTACAACTAACTTATTTCTCCTTCATTAAAACTTGTAAGTAGTTTAATTAAGTTGAATTCGAATTCCAAAATACAATATGTTTCATATGGTTTATAAATCTTATAATTTCTTTCCCTGTGTTCTTTAGTGGTAGTATAGTACTATTTACCAGATAATGTAATATTTTGTCTATTAATATTTAAATGTACTAAGTACGATGCTGTGACATTGCATTAGCCATTTTTGCATATAACTTGAGTTCAGGTTTAAATTAATTGGGGACAAATTGCATTGATTTAATTAAACTACTTTTAATATAACATTATTGCAAGTTTATCTACAAATTAATTGATTAGCATTGTTTTAATTTAATTACTACTTTATATGTAATACATGTTAGCAATTATAATTATTCTCAAGTGTCTTATTTATTTATACTGTACAATGTCCATTAATTTCCTTGAATACTTATTTCTATTATTTAAGTGCATTTATTTTAAACTACTGATATTCACTTGGATTTATTATTACTCTAATTTTAATTGTTTAAATTTCAACTTTTTTTTTAATTATAACAACTTCATTATAGGACCCATATCGAGTCCATTTTTAGCCCAACTGGGACCAAGGGTGTTTCACCGTAACANATTAGCCATTTTTGCATATAACTTGAGTTCAGGTTTAAATTAATTGGGGACAAATTGCATTGATTTAATTAAACTACTTTTAATATAACATTATTGCAAGTTTATCTACAAATTAATTGATTAGCATTGTTTTAATTTAGTTACTACTTTATATGTAATACATGTTAGCAATTATAATTATTTTTTGAGTTTTAACTCAATTATTCTCAAGTGTCTTATTTATTTATACTGTACAATGCCCATTAATTTCCTTGAATACTTATTTCTATTATTTATTTAAGTGCATTTATTTTAAACTACTGATATTCACTTGGATTTATTATTACTCTAATTTTAATTGTTTAAATTTCAACTTTTTTTTTAATTATAACAACTTCATTATTTCTGCTTTTTTGTTTCCCCCAGTTCCGAGAATTCTTTCAACCCATGGTTCTTCTATGCTTTCTTTGGTTACACTGCAGCCAAAAAATTATGCTTATTAACTTTGCTACTTGCTTTGTGACACCTTGGACTAACACCTGTTGGCAATGACATTCTGTAACCACAGTTGGGTGGATATCATTCGAATATTATAGAAGATTCCATTTTTTTACCTAACACCACATAAGCCCTAGTCCCCTAGCTTGATTGGTTTCCTTTCTTCATAAATCAATATTGGCTGTTTAAATTATTGGTGCATGGTAAGTTCCCAGGGTAGAAAGAATTCCAAAGACTGGGGAAAATGTAATGGAGAAAATAAAATTTGCAGATAAAAAAAGCGAAAATTAAAAAATAGTTGAAAACTAATTTAATTAACAAAGTATTAATTAAATAATATTCACCGTTTAAAATAAATAAAATTGTTTAAATAAATAGCAGTAATAATTAATCAGAGAAATAATAAACATTATACTGTATAAAATAAATGAGATACTTAAAAATTAAATTAAAACTAAAAAAAAATAATTACTTACAATTGATCACATGAATTACATATAATTTAATTAAAACAATGCTAAATTAATTGGTTAAATTTTAATTAAACTTTCAAAACGTCATATTAAAAATCGGATTAATTATATTTAACCTGTAGTAAAGTTATATAAAGAAAACTACAAATACAAATATAATAGTTAATTGTATATTTAAACATTAATATAACATAAAAAATAACTCATATGTAGTAATAAGAAATATCAAACATTATGGTATATTTCAAATTTATGAATTCAAGAATCTTGCAACTTACTCTTGGCAAAATAGGTGCAACTAAATTTCGATTGACTAATCCATCCCAGTTGAAACCTTCAAACCACCTGTAAATTAAAATTGAGTACTTAAATTAAAGCTTAAACTATTCAGAGCTTGAATCAAATGAAACCTTCTCAAGGTAACAATAATTAGGTTAAAAATAAATTTTGCAAACTAATTTTAATGCAAAAATGAAAAGGGAGAAATAAAGAAGAGTCACTCGGCAGTGTCATGGTTGTGACCCTGAATAACTATTGATCTTAGTAATGATTAATATTTAGTCACCTGTAAATGTATTTCGATTTTCAGGTTACTAGAGTATCTTTGGATAAATTCTTTTTTAGTTCAAAGCTTTAAAATTGACCTGTGGAAAGTAAGTTTTATGGCTATTAACTTTTTAATTTGAATAGTCTCATTATTAATCGCCTGATAGTTATTATCTGGTAGTTTCATTATTAATAAATTAATTTATCTATTGTGCCATGCAAATTTCTTATTGTGATGCTGTACTCATTGTGTCGTTAGAGAAACAAAAGCAGACATTTGGGATGCAGGACATAAATACATTTCACTAATACATTGATTTTAACAGCTGAAGTTGTAACTATAATTGGATATTCTGAACCACTGTTAATTTTTAAACTTCAGAATGTAATATGTGGTTCTAATCCTGAGTTTGGTACAGTTGGTTCATATGGTATTGAACAGTAACCACCTCATTATTCACAATGCTACGAACTGCTACGATTTTTAGAGTGGTAGACAATTAAAAATGTAGACTTGCAGAATCTTTGGTAATTTGGTGCCAACCACACCACATGAAAACTTGAACCAAGTGGCATTTCATAAGAATTTTTGAATCATTCATATGTAGTGGTGTAGAAAATAACTTTAAATGAAAATTACAAAACAAAGAATAATGCATTAAAACATAACTACCACTGAAAAAATAATGTCAGGTTTTTTTAATGAAAATCTATAAATGTATACCCTGATAATATAGCTGCAAAATATTTAGGCTTTTTGGAAAAACTTCTTCTAGTGGTAGTTATGTTATAACGCATTATTCTTTGTTTTGTAAATTTCATTTAAAGTCAGTTTCCACACAACTACATGTGAATGATTCAAAAGTTCTTATGAAATGCCACTTTGTTCCAGTTCTCTTGTGGTGACACTAATTGCCTGACACTCTATAAAATATTTTGCAAAACGTGTAGTTGTTGACAGGCTTGTGAATAAATATGGTGATGGCTGTATTCTTTTCTGCCACAGGTACAAATACCACATGAACCAACTATGCCATACTCAAGATAAGAAACACATAATATTACATTCAGTTCAAAAACAACAGTGGTTCAGAATAAGCGAATGCAGTTCTTCTACTGTTAAATAATGAATATATAGATGGAATGTATTTATGCCTTGCATCCCAAACATCTTCTCACATTTCACTTAAGACACTCTGAGTTTAACATCATGGTTAAAAAAAATTGCCTAGCAGACTAGATAGATTTATTTATCCCCAATGAAACTATCAGATATTTACAAATTAAAAAGGAATTAAATGTACTTTTCACAAAGCAGTCTTAAAGCTTTATATATTTCAAATATATTATCCGGTTTGTTTAAACAAACCTGTAAATCAAACCAGATTTACAGGTTACCATAACTAAGATTAAAAGTTTTTCAGGGTGGTTCATTTATTTTTTTGTTCACTGCACATATTGTTTCAGGATTAAGTTGCTCTTAAAAAAAGTTAATGTACTTAAAGTTTAGTAAACTGTAAATCAAATCAATAACAAGCAAAAGGATCTGTGTTGATCCATTTACATTAGTATCTGTTACATGGCTCTCAAAATAAGTTTTAATTAATTGTACAAATTTTCCTGTGATGAATTAAAATTATCGATAAATGGCACAATTTTTTCCGGGATGTATTTAGGTCATGAACATAGTCTTACCCTATTTTAACAAGTCAATGAATACACATTTATAATAATTTTATATAAACTGTCTACAAATAAAATTTTCGCAAAGACGTCATGTTGACTTTTAATACTTTCATTAAAAAACAAATGATAACTTTTTACAGTTTTCCTTCAAATGTTTAAGCTTAATAAAAATAAAAAATAGCTTATTAACCTTTCCACACCTAAATTCACAAAACACATTTGCTTGGATCAAAAACAAGATAAAAAAAATATCTTAATACGACTTTTCTTCTACTTTCCTTTCTAATTACCATTTCATTTAATTTGTGCATAAGAAAATAAAAATGAAAAATGTGCTAAAAAAGAAAGAAAAAACTACCATTTACAATTATTAATCAAATCACGATTTCTAAAAAATGATAGTTTTACAGAAAAGCAGTATTGATAAGTTAGTTACTTTATCAAAAACAGAATTCAGGAAATCCATTGTGCTTTTTAGAATCTAAACTTAGGTGTGAAAAGGACTAATGTCAAGTCACAAAAATGAAATTTTAACAAAATAAATACTTACGGATGTTTTCTGAGTTCTTTAATACCACCTTTTTGGTAACCAATTCTTTCATTCACATTTTCCCTAGAATTAAAATTACAACTATTATTTATCAACAGTTATAAGGTAATTTTATTTCTATTTACTAAACGAATGTCTTTTCTTAAAAAAAAATTTTTACAGAAGAAACTGGCATAAAAGACATTAAACACATATTCTACAAATTATTTTTTGAATAAATTTTAGAACATTAAACAAATTCATATTTGACATAATCTATAGAATAAATTTAGATAAACGATTGAACAAAACTAAATATTGAAATGGTTTCAAAATTATAACAAACCATAGCAAATTTAAGTGACTTCGTGATAATTCAAATAATTATAAATCAGATTTAAGCTTTCCCACAATTGCAAAAAAAAATAATAAATTTTTACTCTAAAGAAAAATATTTTTAAATCTATCATAATTGTTATGATAAAGTAAGATTTACTTATATCAAATGTTTTTTTTTCTTAGATAGTAACTAATAAGACAGAAATTTCTGTTTGACAAAATTCTAATAATATAATATACAAAACTTTAACTAAAATATATCATGCTCTTGAGATATTTATGATGCTTAGTAAAATAAAGTACAAAGAAATTATCAGAAAGAGAGAGAGTTTCTTCAAACAATTATTAATTTTGAATTTATAACTTTACTTACTTGCATAGCCTTTTTATTAAAGTACTAGCGTTCTTCGATATAGATATGGGAAACTTGACATGCTCAATGCCCTTCATTATAATGGAATATGTGTTAATAGGATCATTTCCAGAGAAAGGAGGACTGAAATAAAAAATAATAATTTTAATAAAGCATATGAGTAAGATTAAAAAATATACTCACTTACCAGACAAATAAGTCACTCCTAAAGAATTCAGGAAAGGCATAATTTAATATCATGTAACTCTGCCTCTAGACTTTATAACCACATGAATTTGATTAAATAGCTACAAGGCTTTGCAGGTATACCTCATCTAGCTTTAGCTTCTCAGTGAGAATTTGGCTAACACAAATCTGTCAAATTATGGAGATACTGATTTTACCAAATTTTCTAACATGTCTCAAACATTTTCTATGGGCATTCAAATCGGGTAGTTTTGCAGCTAGGTGTAAGAGGGTATGAGAATTTTTTTAAATTCAGTCGCATATTTTTCCAGCCTGATGAGCCTTGTAGCAGACATCTCGATAAATATGGGTATCGACAGCATACTCATAAGGCATTGACTAAAAGTAATAACCAGATAATCCAAAATGTTAAAATAAATATGCTGGTTCATGTCAGAATAGGTTGTATCCATAAATAGGTTGTATCCATAAAAAGTTCCAAACGTAAATTATGAAAAATTATGCTTTTCATGATTCTCTTAGGGGTGACTATTTTTTTGTCCAGTCAGAATTATTAAAGGTGTATAGAAATTATTAGTGTTGAATTATGTTTTGACTGACTGAAAAGTTTTTGGTTTATCTGTGACGCAAATGTCTAACAAAGGGAGTGCACAAATTGAGAAACTCATATTGGAATTGATGTGTTTGTAGCATACGTTTAGGGTGCTTAGCCTTAATAGACAACCATTTTTAGGAAGGAAAAAAAACAGTTCAAATTTAGATAGAGATTATGTAACAATTAAGTTTTGCTCTTTCCAAAGACATAAGTGATGAGAAAGATAAATCAAAAGATTAAATTTACAAATAAAATAAATTTGGGTTTTATTAGGGTGAGCCAAAAAAGTCTAAATTTCTTAAATATTTTAATATAGAAAAATCTTAAGCAGAAAAGTTACCTAATTCCATCCTGAAAAAGCATGTTTAATCTAATTACCCAGCCCCATTCAAGGGACCAATAGTTATAAAAACTAGACTAAAAAAGATTGAAATATTAAAAAATCACAAATTTGTTAATCGGCTTGCGGTAGCAGTTAAAAGTTACCATATTTTAGCAACAATATTCGTGAAAATTTTAGAATTCTAAGTTAATATCTTTTACCATCTCAATAGTAGAAATTTTTGGATATAAAACACATATTTTAAAATAATATATTATTCTTACACTCCTTTAGTGCACTCCAAATATAATAATTAAAATCTAACATTTGTGTTGAGGTGGTAGAAGATATTAACTTAATTAAAATTTTGTACACATATTGTTGCAAAAATGGTAACATTTAAAGGATACCAGAAGTCAAAACCCAAACTCTGCGATTTCTGATATTGTTTTAATTTTCACAACCATTGTCAACTGACATCAGAGTTAGATCAGAACAAACTTCATAAAAATGATTCTTGACAACTTTTCACACTACACATAAAAGATTTAAGATTCTATTTTTATCTTGCTAGATATATCTATATATATGTATTCAATCAAGTTATTAAATACATTTTACAAAATGTTGCAATCGTCATATATTAACTTCTAACAAAATTAAAAAGGATTCTTACGCTCCAGTTAGCAACTCATACATGAGAACACCAAGAGACCAGAAATCACAAGATGTATCATGACCCTTATTCATTATCACTTCTGGTGCAACATATTCTGGAGTGCCACAAAAGGTGTAAGTCTTACGACCATTGGGCAGTTTTTTGGCAAAACCAAAGTCAGTCTGAAATAAATGATCGTGAATGTAGCTTTTCATTACTTTTTAAATTTCTAATGTCATTTTTCATTTCATCAATGTTCATTTTTTTCATACTGTTTAGTAAACAAAGTAGCAGAATCATATTATTTCATATAAACTAAAGTATAAAAAGCATCTCACAAATAATGTAAAGATGGTCTGTCAATTGCCAAAATATTTGAATAATGTAAGAACGTTAAGAATAAAAAATTATTTTCGAAACAAATCCTTAATAACCTGTGAAGATGAATGTTTCTATAAATTTCCTCTTTCTAAGAGGAATAATTAACAAAATTTGAATTTCATAAAACTTAAACAAAATTTACTAAGTATATTATATTATTTAAGGCAAGCACAACAGGTGTTAGCCTTATTTTTACTACATTGTATTTAAAAGCTTACTTTTAATAACATTAAAATTTTTTACAATAATATTAAAATTTTTTAATTAGATAGATGCAATAAATATTTGATGGAATAAATAAGAGGTTATTTTTAATATATTTCTGTAATATGAATTCTATTAATTTTCCAATAAACTAATAGTAAAATTTAATTAACTAGTTACCTAATAATACAAATAACAAAAAATTATTACTACTGTGGCAAAATTTTGAGCACAAAAATTAAATTTTAATCTTGATTAATTATTTGATACAAGGATTAAATTTTAATCTTGATTAATTATTTAATAACAGAACAAATTTTAAATTTTATTTACTTTAGGAACACATTTTAAAATTAATTAATCTTTAAATTTGTTGTTATTTTTCCTAACACATGGCACATAATTAAAATTATAATTAACAGTTNCTACTGTGGCAAAATTTTGAGCACAAGAATTAAATTTTAATCTTGATTAATTATTTGATACAAGGATTAAATTTTAATCTTGATTAATTATTTAATAACAGAACAAATTTTAAATTTTATTTACTTTAGGAACACATTTTAAGATTAATTAATCTTTAAATTTGTTGTTATTTTTCCTAACAAATGGCACATAATTAAAATTAACAGTTGGTAAAACAAATTACCAGGCTAAAATAGTTTTCTTCATATTTTTTCTATAATGCTTTAATAACATTGATACCGATGAAAAAAGAACATCTAACAAATTAAGTATTAAATTATGTAAATAGTATAGTGAATGAATATATAATTTTTATATTTAAAAATTTAGAAAGATATATTTAAAAATAAAGACATGTGATAGAATCCAAATGCATAGTTTAAAAAAAAAACTTTTATTAGTGTTCTCAAATACTAAAATTATTTTGTTTTGAGATGGAATTGAATTAGTAGATGATATAGAAATAGAATAAAAGGTGAATTCAATGTACAAAATTTTTTGTGATAAAATAAAATCTCTTCATTTTCTAAATTTAAGTCATATTTACCAATTTAACATATCCATCTGAGTCCAACAACATATTTTCAGGCTTCAGATCTCTATAAATTATATTTTTAGAGTGCAGATAATCAAAGGCTTCAATCACACAAGCACAATAAAAACGTGTAGTCGCATCATCAAATCGCCCTCTGAAATAGTACAAAAAAACTACTAAAACAGTTTTTCAGGAAAAGTTAGAAAAAAATATTTATTTGAGACAAAAGGCAAAACAGGTTATTTATTGACAGCTAATTTTTTTCCAACTATAAAGCAATTCATTAGAAAATGTAATTTCTTAGGCCAATTAAAAGAAAAACAATAATTAAACAACGCGTAGCATATTTTAATACATAGTATATGTTATACAAGAGGAGGATAAATAAAAAAAATATTTCAGGAATAGTACCAAAAGAAAAATAAGAAAATAACTATTGTTAATTTACCTATCTCTAAGTAATGTCCATAGCTCTCCACCCAAACAAGCTTCCATTAACATATAAAGGTACCTTTGATCTTTGAATGTGCGATATAATCTAAAGGAAAAAGAGAAAAAAAGAATTAAAAAAAGAAATATAAAAGAGAATTACTTTGCATTTTAATTTATACCTAAAGTTTTTTAACTTCAAAAAAAATTAAGATTTCATATGGTAAATATGAAATACCAGAAAATACATTGAAATTCTATCAATAAAATTATTGCTAAAAATTATGTGTAAAGGTATAGATAAAACTAGGCTTTTTTTTAAAAAGGTTTAAGTTCAGTTATATATATTAAGTGTATTACAAATAGAAAGCAATTTCTAGCAACTCTCAATTTTAATTAAAAAACTATAGCACATTTTTTATATAATATAGAGCCTTTTAACACAGGAATATAATGTGACACAGGAATTGGCCTGCATTCTTAAGTAACATTTATAAAGCAACTTACTTGACTATAAAATCACAGTTAGATTCTTCCATTATGACTTTTTCAGATAAAATATGATCTTGTTGATGAGTTTCTACAATTTGAGCTTTTTTCATGACTTTAAGAGCATAGGAACAAGTGGAATCACCTTGAATTTGAACCTTTAAAATAAAGTTTTATTATGTTTAATTATGTTTAAATATTTTAAACACTTGAATGAGGTTAATTACTTTATGAACATAAAAAAACATTAATTTATTATATTGATAAAAAAACTAAAGCTTGCATTTAACATTTAAAAATTCTATTACTTTACCATTTTATTTTTATTTATAATTAGATCATGTGTTGAGTAATATAAATCTATAAGCCATGAAGAAAATTTAAATTAAATATCAAGAAGAAAAAATAACATTTCAGCCTTCCAAAATACTAATTGTTGAAATTTTAAAAAAAATTCTACAAATTATACAAGAAATCTGGTAGAACAATACAACTTTTCACTACATTATAATAAAATTATATTATTGTAATTACCAAAATATTGCAAAATAAATAAAAAGCATATTCGTTATTAAAATTATGAAAACATTTATTAAAGTTCATATTTATCTTTTAACAAGTCTATGGTTTGGCAAAAGATCTAAACACAAATTAAAGTTTAAAAAAAAAAGTTTATTGCAAACAGAAATCTTTTAGCTATCAATTAAACTTTAAAGGAAAAAACTCAGCAAATTTCAATTAAAAGTTTGATAAGAAAATCTAATTTTTTTTTCGAGAAAAATTGAGTAATTACAATTTGTTAGAATTTGTATAAATTGAACATAAAATAATAAAAAAATAGTTATATAACATAACATTGATGTAAACATACATAGATTTACATAGTAAAACTTAATCTATTTAAATTATGAGAATTTCATTTTTTTAAAAAGTAAACACATAAAATTTTAGAATAACTAATAATGAGGATTTTATTTTTCTTTTGACTGGGCATAAATTAAAAAATTTAAATTCATGCAGAAACTGCAATTATTATTTATCTTTTTGTTCATTAATCTCAAAAACCAGAATGTCCATTTCTCAAAGACTTGTCTCATTTATTACTTTTTTAAATATATTTTGAGGCAATGCAAATTTTAAAAAAAAACAGTGTAAATTTTTTTACAAAAATTAGTTTTTTAAAGATTACAATACTTATAAGAAACCATAAGGGAATTTAGAAACCATTAGTAAGTCACAGAAAGAACACATTTTGATTTGAATCAGTACATAATTTAATCAAGTAAATAAGTTTTCAAAAAATGGGTTCGAAAAAAAAAAGATTTTGCATTCTGAAACTATAACAACTTTTATTATTTATTTTAGGGAAAAAGTTTAACAATCTATACAAAATTTGGTTCTGATTGTTCTCAAAAATGGATAACAAATTATTGGTAAAAATTGAAGAATGGATAAGACTAATGTAAAATACCAAGGTGATTTATTTAATTTAGAGTAATATACATTTTTCATTAATTTCTTTTTCTGGCAATTCTAAGGATATTGATAACATAAACACTATTTTAAAAAAAATTGTACAATGACTATACTTATGGCTTACAAGCATGTTATGACTTGTAAAACAAAAAGATCCTTTTTAATTTTTTATTATTTTGAAGAAAAAAAATATCTTCTAGAAAACAGATTTAAGGAATTGTTTTCAACTTTTATTATATATCAAATATGAAATACTAAAACAATTCATGATAAATAAATTGTATAATATTCAATTTTAAATTAAGGAATGTCTGAATGAAGGACAACAGTTTTATTTATAAATAATAATTATACATTTATTATCATTTGTAATAATTTTTTAAAAAAATATTACCTTGGAAATATAAACATTTAGCACTAGAAAGATCACAAAAAATGAGAACAAAATTGCTTCTTTTTAATTTTGAAGTTCTGCAAAATAATCGAATCTTAAAAGATTTCTGTCTTTCATTAATTATTGTTAGGTACATAAACATGCCAGTCAAATGATATGTAGGAAGTAAGATATGTATTGAGAATCTATCGAAAGTATTCTTATGAAAATTTGAAATTATATTTTAAAAAAAAGCGATAAAATGATTTTATATATACAGAAAAGAACATTATATATTTAGCAAGACAAAATGTAATGGTCAAAAACAAATAAATAAAATTCTTACAAGTTCTACTCTTCCAAATCCTCCAACACCAAGAGTTTTTATAAATCGTAAATCTCTCAATTTAAGGTCAGAAAATACTTCATTGGCTCTAAAAATGAATTTTTGTTATTAATGATTTGATGTCAAGAATGAAAAAAATTAATGTATGTGCAATAAACTTATAATAATGTATATTTTTACAAAAATACATGTAATTCTTACCTAAAATCTCACCTTATGCCAGCTTTGTAAACAAAATATATTGCAATTAGTGGACAATGAAAAATTTACACTAATATGTTCAGATTGTAATGAAGTATTCGACTCACACAATTCGAATAATATAAAAACTGCATTATCAGTACTTCTCATTGGCATATGACCTTTAATCAGGTGATGAGGTCACAAAAATAGAGTACAAGATCATAAAAAAATAAAAGTAATGCCTAAGCATTTTCAAAAACTTGGCATATTCTAAGAAAAACTTAATTATAGACAGAATAAGATAAATAATTATCGCTCATTTCTTAGGATTAATTAATATTTAAATACATACTACAAATTTCTGAATTTTTTCTTTTACAATCATTTTAAATACAATTTCTAACAAATGACAAAGAAATTGGTAAAATGAGACACTTTGTATAAATACACAATAATAACTCAAACTAAATATTATAAATTCTATCTAAACTTTTTTAATAGGTTTACAAACCTATATTTATCTTATTTGAGTCAAAATATATCTAATATACATTTCTATTAATATTATTTGTTGTTAATAATGTTATATTAACAACAAAACTTAAATATTAGTTCTATTTAAACTCCAATAACATTAAATATCAACCAGAATTTAAAAGTCAGTCTAATAATGTGACTTAATATTTTAACAACATTCAATTTTATTTCTTTTTGTATTTTAAACAAGATTAAATTTTTTCGAAGAATTTGTTGAATTAATGTTATTCTAAACAAAATTTTTTATTAATATTAAAATCAGACGTGATCTGTTCATTCTTAGAAAATGTTATGGTGAATTATTCTTGGTTTAGAGAGTGGCTAAGAAAAAAGAAAAAAAGGTAAGTCAATCAATCTAGTGGCATTTTGAATAAATGAAACAGCCTATAAGTGAATAAGCTAATCTGTTTATAATTAAATAAAAAAAATCATAAATCTATTACTAGTCATACAGCATTTGATAACCACAACTTATTATTATTGGTTGAAAAGATTTTAATTAGATAAAATCAATTATTTACAATCTCCTTAGCCTTGTTAAACTATATCAGTATAAATAACACTTAAAAAAGTTTATTTTATATGCATATGAAAAAATAGGAAATAAAATTTTTACAAAAACTTGAAACATAGAAATTTACTTACTTCTTCCTGGAATTAGCATCTTCATCATATCTCTTCGTTTTGATTTCATCAATATGACTAATTAATTGATGGAAAGCTCTAAATTAGAAAATAATATATTTTAATGACATGATGATATTGTATTTAAAAGTAGTGAAAACGTAGAATATTACAGATTTCTTAACTCAAGAAATTTACTCTTTAACAAACAAGCTATTTAAACAACCTAGTACATATATTTCTCAGCATAATAAGATTTTATCTGAAGAAAATCACTTAACTGAATTAGAAAGTAAATGAAATGTTTGTAAAAATGAAATGTTTATAAAATGTTATAAAAATGATTAAATTTACTTACAAAATATTATAAATAAATGCCATTATCTAAACTAACATTAATCTAATTAGATTCATCTAGCATAAATTATTTTAGGACTTTATAATAGCATATAAAGTATTATAGATTTCATTTGTATGACTAAACTAATCGATGGAAGGCTTTTAATATTATAAAAAAATACTATCTTTGCATTATATTTATTTCTTTTAAAAGTATTAAAAACATAGAACATTATGCATTTCCAGTACTTGCCTCTTTATCTAACAAGTTATTTAAGCAACCTAGTACAAAGATTTCTCAGATAACAGCATTTCTTCTTTAAAGAAAAGCAGTTAAATGTACTGGAAAGCAACCAGGCTCTATTCTGAACTCAGTTTGTTTTTAGAGTTGAATGGTTAATATTAAAAAAACAATAATAAATAAATAATGCAGAACATTTTACAAGCAACATTCACTTGTTTAAATGAAAAACTTTATAAGCAATTTTCATTTTTTTTATTTGCAATTATTTTGTAAAAAATATTAATTGGTGTTTTAACCTTATAAAGGAGTTTATTTTTTAAATTCATATTTAAATCTAATTTGTTACAGACTTTAAATGATTTTGAACTTAATGCTTTAAATACATAAAATATATACAAGAATAAGATTAAATCATAATTTTTTAACAGATATAAATCCATATTGTATCCAGTTGAACAGCTTTGAAAACATGTTAAGTATATAAGTATGAAAAAACACTGTTTCAAAGGCTAAGTAGTTCATATACATAAAATTAATTTTTAGCTATCACAATTAAAAATGTACCTTTTCCTTAGTTGTGACTGCTAAAAATTAATTTTATGCAAGTAAACCTTGCCTAATAAATGCATTAAATATGCTCAGTAAAATTTCTATTAAACATCATGACTGAAAAACAATAAACAAAACATTATAAAATATTGCTCTCTAAATATTTTCAAAAGCCAAACAAAATGAAACATAATTTTTAAAATAAAAAATATTATTAAACTGAACCTACTCTCTTTCAATGACTAAACATGTGGTTTCTTCAGGATCATCTGCAATTATATTGGCAGTCCTCACATCTTTGCTGCTAAAATAATTTGAAATATGATTAATTTTATTATGAAAACAAAAATTAGTTTCAAAAAAACATAATTGTAAAGTAATTAATCTTAACTGAAAAATTAATTGAAGTTATATGGATATGTCACTAAACAAAACATTCTGAACAATTTTTTATCAAATAGTAATTTTTATATAGTATTGAATTTGCTTTAATTCTTAAGAGCGCAGTGTCTGTTATGTAAAAAATTAAAGAGAAAATATACTTTCCGTAAAAAAATTTTTTTTAATAATGTGATTAATAATAATATGAATATTTAATAATAACATGAATATTTTTTAGCATCATACTTAAACTTCAGATCTTTTTTATTTCACAGCACATTTTAAAACATTTAAGATAACAAAATTTTTTTACCTAGCAATTATTTTATGAAAGATGATACAAAATTAAATAATTTATATTTTTACAAGCAATTATTTTATTGTTGATATCGCTGGTTCAAAACTAAAACGACACATCTGCAAACATATTATGCCTGCAGATGTGTCCTTTTAGTTTTGAAGCAGTGATATGTTTTATTTGCAAGATATAAAAAGTTTAATGTTGAAATATAGATAAATGAATGAATGCTAAAATTGAGAAAGTTATTTTAATTGAAAAGTATTATTTTTAAATAAGCATTTCTCAGAAAATATTACTTTAAATTTTTTTTAAATAAAAATGCATAATGCCAACAAACGTAGCTTTAGTTTATACTTCTTATCAGTCTCATATTTTTTCAAATTTAATTATTTATTTATTTGGCATGGGATAACTTCTAATTTACTTGGTCTTTAAGCAGCACGAAATGTAAAGATAAAAAATGTGATATATTTACAATATAAATCACTGAATACAAATTGNATAAACAAATTTTTTTACCTAGCAATTATTTTATGAAAGATGATACAAAATTAAATAATTTATATTTTTACAAGCAATTATTTTATTGTTAATATCGCTGGTTCAAAACTAAAACGACACATCTGCAAACGTATTATGCCTGCAGATGTGTCGTTTTAGTTTTGAAGCAGTGATACGTTTTATTTGCAAGATATAAAAAGTTTAATGTTGAAATATAGATAAATGAATGAATGCTAAAATTGAGAAAGTTATTTTAATTGAAAAGTATTATTTTTAAATAAGCATTTCTCAGAAAATATTACTTTAAATTTTTTTTAAATAAAAATGCATAATGCCAACAAACGTAGCTTTAGTTTATACTTCTTATCAGTCTCATATTTTTTCAAATTTAATTATTTATTTATTTGGCATGGGATAACTTCTAATTTACTTGGTCTTTAAGCAGCACGAAATGTAAAGATAAAAAATGTGATATATTTACAATATAAATCACTGAATACAAATTGAATTATGTTAGTAATATTTAAAGCACAAATAAAAAACGTTACTCCTCTACAGCAGTGTTCCCCAACCCCCGGTCCACGGACCGGTACCGGTCCGTGGATCAAATGGTACCGGGCAGCCCATTTCATTAAAACTGAATTTAAATTCCTAGGCTTATACCCCAAATTAAAAATATTTGTGTTCCATTAAAATTTTATTTATTTAACAAAAAGGGGACCCCGAAGGTAGTGACATAAATTTTTAATGTTTTAAAAAGTTTAAAAAAAGAAAAGAAAACCACCGCAACTATTTTCTCTTTCAATTAGCTTTAATAAAAAAAATCAATCATCTCCTCAGCGGGCTGCTGTAAAATTATCAAAGATTGACAGGTCCGCGGTGATAAAAAGGTTGGGGAACACTGCTCTACAGCATAGTTAGTTTTTAAAAAAAATAAAACTGAACCTTTGTAAAGCTTTTTCACCAAAAAAGTCGCCACAGCCTAATGTCCTCACAAACTTCTCTTTGCATTCGTCTGGGTCATTTAAAGTAACCTTCACCTAAATATAAATATCATAAATTTATATTCGTATTTAATAATAAACATATACATTATGTTTCACAAAAAGAGAGAGACTTACTTTTCCCCGACTAATGATGTAAAACGTATCTCCACCGGCACCTTGTCGAATAATGTATTCTCCCATTTTAAAACTATGCTAAAAAATTATAATCAAACATTAAAATCAGATTATAAATAGAAAATTAAAGGGCTTATAACTGTGTAATTAAAATTTACATGAAATTAAACCAAACAAAGAAATAAATTTCAAGCAACAAGAAAGAGCAAAGATATTTAAAACTAGTTTAAACTATAAAAACTTTTGTAAAAATGAGTTAACCAAAATTTTTTGCATCCAAAAATTTAATAAGTTTTAAGCATTTCAAAATCAAAAATATTATTTTTTTTTACTAACCTCATATAAGACATCAGAAATTTTGAGTAGAATTTCTTCTTTAAGTTTCCTGAATGTTGGAACACTAAAATCAAAACAAAAAAAAAATGATATAATCCTTAAATGAAATTATAATTTATCAGTACTAGAACAGTTATTAGGTACTTTAATTTTGACTATGCATAGTCAATATATGGTTGCATAATTTTTCAATCACTCCAAAAATGTAACACATTAAGAAAAAATTTATTTTAAATAAATACAAGGATCTGGTGATAATTAGAATTGAACATCTATGCCAATATGCACATTGGTTATTTCTTATTTTAACCCAGTTATAAGCATATTTAATCTTTGACAAATACATTTTAAAAGTAACTATATTTTTGTCCATAATTAGATTATTTGAACTTATAAATAGAAAGAAAATATTTGGGTTGACTCATTCTACAGTGACACATTTAAACATAAAGTTTTTCTTTCTTCTTTTTTTTTTTCAACATCGGCCGCTTAGGACAAAAAATTTAAACTAATCTATAAGATGAATACTAACATGAGAAAAGTATTAAAATTGTTACACAGTTAGTTTTAAAGTTGATTTTTTTTACTCAGAACAAATCATTTGAATCAGAATATCAGTAGACCTAATATTATCATTAATTGAGATTAAAAGAGCAAAAATTGATTCACGTTTCGAGTTTTTCATATTACTCCACGCATAAACTATGTCGTATGGTAAAAGATGCAGCTAAAATCTTTTGAATTATTTGTTTAAACTATCATTAAAAATAATTTTTCGTATATTTAACTTAAATCTTCAGAAAACAGAACTATAGAGTTCATAAGAAATTTGTTTTTAATAAGTGTGGATTAAAGATTCGATTTATACTCCAACACTTTGAGTGTGAAAATAGCGGTCGACTTGCACACCATATCAACCTATGCATATAATTTTTTTTAAAGATTTTGTGAAAAATGAATTTTCAATGAACCCTTGGTGAAGAGCTATAGTTATTTGAATCAAAAAATTCTATGAGATATACCAATTATGAAATACCGATTTTTTTCCAACTAGACTTTCAGATTGAAACAAAATACTGCTTGCCTAAAATCAAAATGGGCAATAAGTATAAGTTACTGTTTTTAAAAATTGAGTTTCCATTTTTGGCAAGAATTTGTAATCTATAACTAAGCAGCTAAAGTATAAAAAAAATAAAAAAATCATACATACATTCGATTCATTGTTGAAGTAACGCCACCGCTGATAACGTTTATTTGATCTCGGAAAATAAATTTTGCCTAAAGAACTACGAAGAATGTTGCAAGAAATCACTAATCCGTGAAGTGAAAATGATTTCACATAATCCTCTTAATAAGGATAATTTTTAGAAGAAAAATAAGAGCTAGTGTTGAGTATTAAGTTTTTCAAGGTAATAACTGATGCATTAATTGTTACTAATAATAATGAGTATAAAAATAACACTTAGGCAATTTGTAACGAAATAATTTATCAATTAGAAACATATTTTCCATTTGAGTAGAAACAAAAATACATACTAAAGATTATTCGAGGAAAGTCTAATAAAGCTTTTTTGCTAAGTACAACTTAATGCACAATTTAAAGAGCATTTACCTCTTTTAACTTCTTTCCTTTTGGCATTCATTCTTTCTCTGAGCATATTTTATATCATTTTGATGAGAATTAAAGGAAGAATATTACATAAATGTAAAAATGTTTTTTGTACGAACTAAACATTTAATTTCTAACTTTTTATATTGCAAAAAAATATATATACAGGGATAACATTTCAGTTATAGTATCGGAAAATAATTGTAATTACAATATCGGCAAAAAAACTTATGTTTAAAATTTCTTGGGTAATTGATTTTGTATAGCTATAAGAATGTTTACATGGAATCACATAGAATTTAAATATACTAAAAACTAAATTTACTTGAAATTCCATAAAAATAATTTCATTGTTATTGGACTTCAATACTGAATATTTCTAATGATTCAATATGTTTGAAAATATTTATGAATAATATAAAATTTTGGCAATTAATGCTTGTAAACTGAAGATAAAATGAAGTTTCAATTTTTAACTAAATAAAAATGTATTACATACTGCAGCTACAACACATACCTTTTTAAGAAGTCTGTGTATTGTGCTTGTCTCACTAAACCAGACCTCATCATGATGGTCTGAAAACACTGCCTCTCTATCGCCCATAGTCTACAGTCAGTGAGAGCTGTAATGTTACAGACACAGTTACAACAATGAAAAATTATGGAAATAGTTACAGAGCATATGAAAAGTATATTTTTATTTGGAATAGGATTTTGAATAAGGATAGTACCTGTGATTGTAGCGGTCCTTGTGCCATTATATAGGATAGCTAGTTCTCCAAAGACCTTTCCAGGGCCAAGAGTGCATAAATATTGGTTACCTTTTGAAACTTCAATTTTACCCTCTGGATATAAAAAAAAGTATATAAATAATTAGAATGTTTTATATAGCATTCATGCATAATTTAAATATATTTCTTAAAGCAATAAAATAAATTTAAAAAAAAAAATAACAGCTCAAAACTAATATTGAAAATTATTAGACATGCTTAAAAAAATGCATGGAAATTTCCTTTTATGAACTAAGAAAATTTTTTTTTTGAATGCAAGCAGTTTTATAGCGCAATTGAAGCAAGTGTAGGGTAAATGAGATTTATTTGTCCAACTTTGACACATAATGACCCTTAAAATAAATAAGATAAGTGAATTATCTTGCTTGTAGTTACAGAACACATGGAAGTTTCATTTATGTACGTGTTTCGAGGTATTGCCTCAGATATTTTCATGCTCTTTGTTATTCAAAATAAAAATCTTAATTTTTACATTCGCTTCACCTTCCCCCNCTTCCCTTCCCCCCCCCCCATGCATTACTGTTGGTTTTTCCTACATCATATACTTCCCAAAACATTTGCTGCATTCTAATTATTATTATTTTTTTCATAACCAATTCTTCCTCAAAAATCTAATTATTTATTTACACATTTTTCAAATATAAATTTAAGCTGAAACTTTAAATTTTTTCACAGAGCAATATTTGTACAAAAAAAAAAGATAATACTGGGTAACGAAAAATCATTGTAAGTAAAAGCTCAATTTTTACAATATATTCAGTAAAATTTCAGTCATTAATGTATTCTTAAATTATTAATTTTCTACATTGCTTAAAAGAAACAAAGCTTGAAAACTTAAAAGAAACATTCAAGAGTGAAAAATTCATGAATTAATTCAATACCTTCCATGACATAGACGATACTGCCAACTTCCCCTTCCTTGATGATAACAGTATCTTGCCCATATTCTATAGGGTACATACACTCTGTGATCTCACGAATTTGGTAGTTTTCCAGGTTTTTCATGAAATCATTTTCAAGAATTGCTCTTTGTATAAGCTCTTTTGATCTAAAACATTTAATTAAAATAATATATTATTATTCATTCGTAAAAGTAATAATAGATTATACTGCAGTTATAGCAAACAGTGTGTCTGAATCATTTGGATCAAAATTTGCAACTATCGTTTTCGTAATTATTATTTTATTCACCTTACGATCAAACCAAATTTAATTATTTCTGATGGGCGTTTTAGTTAGTCGAGTGATTTTTGTGCACTAAGATCATTTCATCTGTTGCGCTTACATGGGCCCCTGATGGTAAGAGAACAAGAGGAAGACCCAGACTTACCATCCAGCGCATGTTTTTGGGCGAATTAAAAGAATGTGGAATATCTGGCTGGGAGGAAGCAGGATCTATTGCTAAAGACGTTGGAGGGATATGCTGGAGGCCTTAAGTGCCCAAGGCACGTAGAGGATAAGTAAGTAAGTAAGTAAGATCACCTCTTTACAAAACTTTAAATGTATTTTCTAAAAAAAAAATTAATTCCTAGAAAATGTAATTTCAGCCGCGATGGCTCAGGCGATAGAGCGTTCGCCTTCCAATGAGGCGAACCGGGTTCGAATCCCAGTCGATACGAATTCCGCATCCGGCTTACACCTACCACAGTGCTGGCGTAAAATATCCTCAATGGTTGACGGTTCATGGGTTAGAGTCCCCTTGCCATCAGGCTAACCGTGGGAGGTTTCCCTCTCCATGTAACGCAAATGTGGGTTAGCTCCATCAAAAAGTCTGTCACGAAGGCAAATTTCTCCCAATACTCGATCCAGAAGTTCCCTTGTCTTCTGGATTGGGTTCTAAATTACAAGGCTAGGGAGTTGAACATTAATAGTCGTAAACCCGTAAAATTGGGTCGGCTGTTCAACGACAGTTATTTAAAAAAAATAATTTTATTCAATTTGTAATACACAGATTTTCATAAACTTTTAGGTCTCTGTTTTTGTTTTGTTACGATAGTAATGATACACTCTTTAAATTTCTCAAATTTTTAATTCTTTTTTAAAAAAATTTTTTTTATCAAAATTCCTAAAATTTAATATTTTGGTTCTTTATCCAAATTCTTTAAAATTCGGGGAAAAAAACCTCGCTTACATAAAATACAATAAATAGACCCTAAAAAAATGTTACAAAACAGAAACAGCAAGTACAGTACGTTTTTTCAAGCTAACTAGCTAATTTTATTTCTTTCTTTTAAACAAAAACAATTTCCAATGTTTGCTATTACAACAATCCCTATTGACAAATCCTCCAAAAATATACAATTGCAAAATGTAACATTTATTTTAGAGCCAAATATTCTTGAAAAAAATTTATCTGATTCTTCTGATAAGTGAGGGACGAATTTGAGTCAATGCGCCAAAGAAAAAAAATATTTGCTGCACTAACGTCTGTAAACGTAGAAGCTATTATCAGAGAAACAGATCGAGCAAAGTTAAAACGACAGCCTTAGTCATCGTTTTAAAGTCATCAAGCTTTGAAAAAAAAAGCGGAACAAGTTAAATGGAATAGTTTTGACATAAGAATATACTAATGAACAGAATTATTGTTAGTTATAGCTGATCAACCAAATAAAAATAGCATTCGTAAAGTGAAAAAAAATAGGAAGTTAATCTATAATAAAAAAAAAAAACCTAACTAATTAGTTGATGATGTAATCAGGGAAAAATTTTTTAACCTATTTATTTTTGTTCAAACAAACTAATAAGACAAATATTATCATTAGATATACAGTTCACTAAACACAATAATAAGTGTTATCGATACAAATTTTATTAAACTTATTTTTTAATTCATAAAAAGCAATTAAAATTTTACAAATGCTTAACACTAGAAAGACTGAAAATTAGTATATACCTATATTGCCCAAAATCAGTTAAAATGACTGGATTGTAAAAGAATAAATAATGTGAAAAGAAATTCGTTAAAAATTAATTTTTAATATTTTTTATATTATTTACAGTCAGATAACAAGTTAGTAGAAAATATTAACAATAAAAAAATTATATGTCGTACAAAATTCTAAGAAACTGTGTCATTATATACATCATTGTTTTTCTAATTGAAATTAAAAACAGTCAAAATGACTTCCTTAGGCAATCTAGTGTTAATGACCTCAGATGCTTACATTGTTTGGAACTATTTGTAGACCAATAGAACACTAATAGATTTTCTCAAAAAACGTATGTTTTTCTAAATGGATTTTTTGATCGCCTTATAAATGAAAACACATATTTTTATTCTTCTTCAAGTTTAAAACTATATTTAAAATAGTATTAAAAAATAAACTATAGGAAACTGAGCGCTTTTGCGATTGATAATGCAAAATATTTGTTTAAAAAACCTCTAAAAATGAGGATCTCAATAAATTGACGTAGTTTTCGACAAGAGCAGAGTTTTCTCAAATTATTTATTATTTATTTTAATTTGTTTATTTATATTTAAATTTATTATATCAAACTGATGGTACATTGGACAACATGGCCTAGTCAGGGTTAAACTAGCGATAAAACATGTTCTGAAATCTGAAGTTCGATGATATTTGAAGTTTTCATGTCTGCGAGTATGAAAAATTATGTTTTCAAAAATTACCATTTAAAAATGCATAAATTCACTTATATTTCCTCACTATTAAATGCGTTAACATAAAACGAAATGTCCTCTATGATATTCAACCAGTATTTTTTTTTTTAAATTGCGCTAACATCTAAAAATAACATTCAAATTACCGAATCATGCAAATATTATGCGTATGTTATCAAATAATGTAAAAATTACATATTGTCGAAATTTATATCAAAAATAAAAACATCGTTGTAAGTTGTGTAAATTGTGAAAACAAACTCCTACAAAAATTTGCCTTACTTTAACTCTAAAGGAAAATAGACTAGGCATTAGGCATAAGAAAAGTTTAAATTTCATTATTAGCAGTAACAAGCTGATTTTACCTAAACATGATATTCCGCACTGTTTGTTACTATTTCTAACTGTATTTTTGCTTAACTGCGATAGTTTCCCTTGCTCACAATATATTTCAACTAAATACACTTTACCGTAATTTTTTTGAGCAAGAGAGCATTAGTTTACAAGTTTTGTAAAGTTAGAAAGATAATTTTTACACAGTTCTTAAGAAAATATAGTTATAAGATCTTATCAATACCCTTCATCAAATAAATGTAGCTCAAACAAAAAAAGTAAAATTTTCGATCACAAGTAACAAGCGACATTTATCTTTAACATTCTCATATCATATCGTATATCTAAGTTAATTGAAAAATTCTGCTCCGTTGCATAGGTCGGTGACATTTTCGCTAAGTTTTTTTTTTATTGGAAAAAGTCTTGAGTATTTTTTAATCTGCTTGATATTTTTTAGGCTTATTATTAGCCTACATGCTTTTAATTTAATTAAGACGCGTGCAAATAATTTCTCCAGATGAATTTGCTTAGACTTATTGGAATAATCTTTAATAAAGCATTTAGAATAAGTTTTCATTACTCAGTGTGTATTGCAAACTATCTAAAATGAATCAGGCTAATTCAAAAATGACTGGCATGTTTATAAATATTAGTCATTGCTGTCATGAGTTATATAGGGCATATGGGTTCATTTCAATAATCCTTAAGAGAGTCAAGCTGATTAGTAAATTTTAGAAACTTTCGCAACTAACCAGGCGCTTTACAAGATGGCGGCAACATTTGAAAGTCGGATTTAAGCTAACGACATATACATTATATTACGCGTCTGGTATACCAATGCATTTACTACTGCTATTGTTTCTTTATCTCAGAAATAATTGCTATCAAAAGACTGAACTGCAATTTAGAAAGAAAAAAAAAGACATGCTAAAATAGGATAAATGAATATATTATTAAGAAAGAGATGGTACGTTTAGTTATTTTTCGCATAATAAGATGATCAAAGCACGATGAGCGATACTAAGTGAAAAATTCACGTCTAAAAATTAACGAAATCTAGCTCTGACGCAAACGCTCGCAATCTCAGTAGGAAAAAGTATTAACGTCTAAATTTTACCCACTAAAAATTTATGAATGACAATTTCAACAACTTTCATAGTTCGAGGATTACAAATCAGGAAAATATTCAGAAAGAAGAAACCAAATTAACTCATTTCTGAGCAAATAATAACGGCGATCATTTTGATAGGAAAAATCAGACAGCTAATAAAACTGAAATTTATTTAAGTTACATAATTTCTAAATTTACCTGATTTTAGATTAAGACATTAAATTTGATTTGTTATTAATAGTGACAGATCGCGTATTTACTCATCTAATTTATTCCTGTAAGATTCAATCAATATCTTCACTTTTAGACTATCAACAAAAGAAGAAAAAGAAGCCTGATTTTCTTTTTATTTATTTATATCCTCCTATTTAAATAAAATATTTCTTAAATAAAAATTATCTAAAGTGAAGTTTGAGTGAAAAATTGAAACTTAGCTTCATTAAAATATTTTTTATGTGGTTAATTTCATAAAGTTAAATAATGACTGTTCAACACAATTGTAATTATTTGATTTGATGAAATGAGATTTAATGATGAATACGATTCTTATAACTTTTGAATTTATTTAAAAAAAAAGACAAATATTTTATAATAAACAGGATGGTAGCAAAGCAAGAAGTACGCTTTGTAATTTAAGTTAGTAATTTGTAGATAAATAATTGACAAAAAAAATAGATAAATAAAGAGTACTGTCAGAACGTTTTTTCTTAAAAATGCGAAAACTAGACGATATAACAGTCAGTGTTATTTTTAACATAGAAATGGATGACTACACTATTCTATTTTTAAGCCCTTTCTAAAAAAATTTTCATGTATGATTTTATACAAGTTGAGTCAGCACTCTGTTAAAAATCCTGATGTGGAAGAAAAAGATAGATTACATTTTCAGAATCAGCACAAAAAATAACTTTAATCAGTTCTCAAAACTACAATAATTATCAACACGTGGAAAACTGTGTCATTAAATTAAAGCTCAATAATAATT